AACGTGGGACACGACCTACATCAATGAAACTTGGCACAGATATAGATCAATATCTAATGCTCATACAGATTTAATAAAAAAGGACCTTATCTTATTATTTCACAAAAAATTTTGTATGCGAAGATGCCTTATATATACCAAAGATTTTCAAGATAAAGGTCGATTGAAAAAAGCAAAATAGCTGGCTAGAAATGTAGGCCAAGATGTCTTCCAAATTATAAGGCCGGAAACGGAACTCAAATATATGTGGAAAGAACTAATTTAATAATAAATAGACACACACATCGGAAAATTAAAAACTCGGATTTTTCGGCGCCGACGCCCATTTCCGATACAAAAAAAATAGTAGTCTCCCTTCTTTCATCGAAGTATCTAGGTTTAGGGATACATTTAGGGTTCAGGTTAGGTTTAGGGATACGTTTAGGGTTCAGGTTAGGTTTAGGGATACATTTAGGGTTCATGTTAGGTTTAGGGATACATTTAGGGTTCAGGTTAGGTTTAGGCTAGGGATACATTTAGGGTTCAGGTTAGGTTTAGGGATACATTTAGGGTTCAGGTTAGATTTAGGGATACATTTAGGGTTCAGGTTAGGTTTAGGGATACATTTAGGGTTCAGGTTAGGTTTAGGGATACATTTACTTAGATTTAGTGACAGAATTAACTGTAATTAACTGGTTTTCTCAACCAAGATGGGGGCCAATCATGGCATCCACAATCACCATTAACCAAAAAATTAAATACTGGTGGGTTTCTGAAATAATAAAATATTTTGTTTTGGGCCTGGGGGCATATTAAATTTAATTATTTAATGAATGTTATTTCAAACAAACAAACAAACAAAGGCTCATATGTACGGGTTAATTGATCTAAACCAAACTTCGTTCACATATATTATATGATATAATTGATATAATTGATTCATCTTGAAAGCCATATTAAAAAAAACTGAACCATACTGAACTGATAAATAATATCCACGCCTTCAGTCAGGGAAAAAAAAAAGGAGGGGTTGGATTTATTTTTCCTAATATAACTAATATACATACCATGCGTCTTAGGGGCCGTCCATAAATGACGTCACACAAATTTTGCAGATTTTTGACCCCCCACCTCCCCACATTGTCAAATCTCTGCACCCCCCCCCCCCCCAAAAATTCCCTGAGAGTGTCTACTACTGTCCTTTACAAAACCTTAAGAAATTTACCATCGCCATGGATATCAAATGACTGCACCTGTGTCAGAAACATTTCACTAATGGTTCTTAACCAGCGGTAAAAGTACCTCCCAAGCCCTGAGGTGTGGAAGATCAGAAAATTAAAATTGTATTTGCTCCCATTGCTGGTTGTTGCTGCTTTATTAAAAAAAAGATAAGGTTTTTGCATTTTGATTAGCAGCAGTAAATGTTTTTCTGGTGAATTTCGTTGGCGAATTTATTTACTTGTATTGGTAATTTGTTTTCCTTGTTTATAATACTATTACAATATAATTTAGACTTATTTTGGTTAGAGGGGGGGGGGGTCTGTAGTGTAAAATGGAGTGGGCCTGCAGCGCTGCAAATAAAAGGTTAAGGATCCCTGCCCAAGAGCCATTGCTAAGATCACCCCACCCCTGTCAACCATTTTTTTCGTTCTATCCCGTAGTCATAAAAAGATTCTCACGACTGTCATTGTAACTACATCCCGATTCTCCTACTCCATGGCTTCCTGTAACTTGATCAGAGGCCATTTTTCGGACATCACATATCTGTACTGATCCTCTCAGTGATCATAGTTTAAAAATAAAATAATTATAAAAGAATAATGTTAAAAATGTCTGTAATTTAGGTCGTTAAGTGCAATTCTTTACTACATTATTCTGCTTTTCATGTGATGTCACATTGCTTAAGATCCCCTCCCCCTCATCACACATCATCACTAAAATGTGACACCCCCCTCCCTCCCTTTAGACGCGTTACTTCATTTATAGATGGCCCCTTAGACAACAATATAGGCATAGGCTTCTACTTGAATTGATGGACAAAGACCAAGCTTTTTAGCTTTATCCTTCACAATGCATATTTATCGGTGTATTAAAAAGTAGCCTAATAATATTCACTCCATTTGGAGCTGGTCTAGAATTTTTCAGAAATTTCCCATGACATGATATATTTCTGATATAATAAATGTTGTTTAATTTACGCTAAACATCAATAAATATTACCATAATTTAATATCAATTTAATTTCTTGTTTCAATTTTGTGAATATGCCTTCAGTTTGAAAATTTCATTTAGCGTACCAACTTACAGATGAACAAATCTGGGATATAAGGGGAAAACAAAAACACAAAATGGAAGGATCATTTGCAGAGATCATTGAAGTGCAAATCAAAAAAAAAAGAAATGTATGCACTGCGGACAATTTAGTATTAGGTAACTATTACTGCCTTGAGTTACTTTAATAAAGAATACATTTAAGTTTACATGTGAAAGTTCCAACTTCTTCAAGTAACAATATACACACCTGTACTGCACTTTCAACAAGTATAAATTAAAGTTACATAATATATATATGTATGCTACCTAAAAGTTAATGCATATTAAACTCAAAAAGGTTAGATGTGCCTTACAATAATTATACAAAGAGTTTACTAAACTTTACTATTGATTCACCAAAAAGTGACAAGTTAAAAAAAAAAGCCAGTGAATTTGGATTATACTGTACACTTGGTAAAGATTTTCATTTAATTTATTTTAGCATCGTTAATAAAATAAAGGTATATAACCACTGATTTCATTTAAGCATATATAATTATTTACTTGTTATCTTCCCTTCACTTGCTTCAGGAAGGACCATAATATATACCACATTTTTGCTATGACTATGAATGATTAAACAAATTTTCCAAATCAAATGCAAGCCTATTCCTATAATTATTTCATAATATTTGACTTAAATAATGACTTAAGGTACTTCAGTACTCATTCCTGTATTGTTCTGTACACCTGCGCATCATCAAAATGATGCAAATACTTTTGTGGCCATTTAACTTTTGGCTCAGTATTGACCTCAGTGTTTTTGCGTTGAACATCAAAGTTTTCTAATAATCAATAATTTTGTCATCGACTACCTAAAATATTTTTCTTACAATGATGCTCACACAATTTACCCGTCATGTAAATCATGCTGTGTGACTTTGACCATTTGGTAAGCTATAAACTTCTTAGTTACCTTTTGGTGCATGGGATGGAGGTGCGAGGATAGAAGATGCAAGGGGCAGGCAGGTCATATCCAGGGGCAATCATGGCTCTTTTTGTTTTCTGCACAGCTGCTGGTTTCAAGCTGTGTACGTAGTAGCACTAAGAGGCTGAAACCTTTGATTATTGTTACCATCTGTCTGATTTTATGCAGAACACTTCAATATCAATAAGGCTTTCATGCTGCCTTTGAAGCATTTCTTCTGACCACCAACATGCAGCTTACCAAATCTAACTAAATATTGGTGTATAGCAGCTATACTAGCAAGTTTGCACTACAAAATAGGTTGACAGTTAGGTTATTAAATAAGCCCAAGGCCTGATACAGACCAATAAAAATTAAAGTAAAGTATTAAACAAACCTGGTAAACCCAGGATTCAAGGAATGTTTGAGTTAGTATTTGCCACAATTACATGCCTCGCCATTTATCATGATCAGGAGAGAGAGTGTTTCAGTCAGTTTTTTTACCTATTATATTTATTTTAAAGAGATCAATGTCCATCTATCCTTTTCAAGCAAACAGGTTTCCTCTAAGTCATCATACAATTGACAGTCAGTTAAGGGAAGTTTAAAATTATGTCAGACAAAGTCAAACTAATGGGGTATGTGGGTGGAAAAAATGGTGGAGTGAACATAACGAAACAATGTAATTTTACAAGTCAAAAGCGGCTGCCGGAATTCCTCAAAGTGATGTCACATCCATGAGGACGGAAGACATCCTACTAACTACACACTTAGAGAAACTAAAAATACTGTCCAACATTGTGAATTGATGTTAAAAATTAGGAATATTGACTAACATTGTAAATGGGTGTTAAAAAATACATAGGGTTTTGGTTAAGAGACCTCATAACAATTAAGGCTGGGAAAATTTAAAAAACAAGTTTTTAGAAAATGTAGGAAGTCATTAGTTTTTTTTTAGGTTTTCTTTTGAATATATACGGCATAACAAACAAACAAACAACAGGAAGAAGTTACCCATTTAATGCTGAGAAAGTTTGCTGTAATTGCCAGTGGGTACACTAAATATTCGAGGTCCCATTGTTTAAAAACTGAATTATGCATTAAGATAAATGTATTAAAATTTACTTAATGTGAACAAGTAACAGTTAACTTGTACTTATTTTATTGGGGAATCTTTTCAGTGTGGGAAAACCCAGCATACCCAGAACATACTGTTCTAACATAATGTCCAAGTGATGCACAATTTGTTCAAATCAAGTTAGATATAAATATTTTTAAAAAGAAACTACACACTGGCATTAATAAATATTTTCAACAAAATAAATAAGTTGAACTGATGAAAAGAAAACATAGCTGGTTGGTTTTGTTGTCATTGTTTCATTGTTTTGTTGTCATTGTTTTTTGTCATTGTTTTGTTGTCATTGTTTCTTTGTCATTGTTTTTCTGTCATTATTTCGTTGCAATAGCTTGGCTTACTTTATTGAAAACTTTTTCCTTTTTTTTTGCTTGTGAACAAGCTGACTCTCCATTCTAGTACTGGAACACACAAAGTTATTTAGAATTCGTATTTATGACATATCCACAGCAGACTACTCTGGAATAAGCATGAATTTATTATTATTATAACACTGGTGAGGCCACTAAGCCACACCAAACTAGTTTCAAGTCAAGTTGTTAGCTGTGCAATTATTTGAAAGGCTAAAGGTCACAACCAATGGAAAAGGGAGGCTTTATCTAGCACATTAAGTCTGAGCCTTTTCATATTGTAATGTGACTCATGAAATTGATTTTCACAGTGTAGCCTGTAGCTATTTGAAGCAAATGAACATAAACTTGGGATAAGCAACAGCTGTTTAGCTTGCCAATATGTAAAAATACTATTTTTTTAAAAAAGAGGGGAAAACTTGCTTTATGTGACACCACCATCTGTGACACAGGATCTTCCCTTACACAAGGCAAATCTGATATGTTCTGTGCTGTTTCATCTAAACCAGTCGTGTGTTGTTAGTTGTTAATGGCCTGCCAAGCTTATATGTTACAGTAACCCGGCTGCTGACTGTATTCACCAACCCAACAAGTAGTGTTACACTGGCATTCAAGAGGCTGTAATCACTCACATAAATTATATGCTAGCCAATGCTTAGTCTCGTCTCATGTAAGCTACATCATTAATCACTAAATGAGTGCAGGGGATTGTGAATATTCTTTAGTTTCCACAATGGATTTGGATGAAATGTATTCAGACCACAACAAGCATCAGCCGATGCCATGGGAAGATAATATGTAAGTCAGTGATGACAAACTTTGTTCACATGAAAATAAAATTTGTTTTACGCCTGAACTATTTAAAACTGTTTATTTGTTGGATTAATGCAGTGTAAGGTAAGAGTTTCTAATCGTGTTTTCTTTAAAGGCAATGAATTTCTGAAGTTTTCTAGTCATCTGCTTGTACTAAAACAGGTGAGAAAAAAGGTCACAATATTGAGTTTAGGAAATTATCGAGGAATATGCACGTGATTTGTTTACCGGTATCTAATGTTATCTTCATTCCAGATGGCTTCACTGAAAAAGAACATTTATCCTTTATCTTACAGTTTTAATTTTTTTTTCCTCAGGGGTATGACAGTGACCTCAGGTCATGTGGTCCTAAAGAAGGACGCCCAAAACCTGATTGGTATTAGCATAGGAGGAGGGGCCCCGCTGTGCCCATGCCTGTATGTTGTTCAGGTGTTTGACAACACCCCAGCAGCCAAGGAAGGATCATTGGCTGCAGGTGATGAGATTGTTGGCGTCAATGGCCAGTCAGTCAAAGGTCGCACAAAGGTGGAAGTGGCCAGGATGATTCAATCCATCAAGGTGAATAATGTTTTAAAAAAGTTATAAAATGAAAACTGTCTTTCAGAGCAAAGAATTTTGAGTATAAATAAAAAATATAACGAAATTGCTACCACCCACATCATAATATCTTAGTGGACAATATTGGTAAAATAGAAAATCAACAAATAGAGATTTTAAAATAGACATAAGGATATATATGTACATATATACCGGGTAAATATAAAAAAATAAGAAAAGCAATGAAGCATCAGCGATAAAAAGGCAAGAAAAAATTGCTGTTTCAGTTTTACTGATATTACATTTTTAGTTAAAAATTTAGTTAATGAAAAGATAAAATATTTTCATTTTTTTAGGCTGAAGTGACCATCAACTACAATAAATTACATGCCGACCCAAAGCAGGGCAAAAGTTTAGACATAAGTAAGTACCAGTACTTTATAGAATAGTCTGCTTGAAAATGTTAGAATAAATACTTAAAAAATTTCTTAGAGCAAATCTTTTAACTTACTATTGTAGTTGATAGTTGTGACAGTAATGGTTAGCTGATTTATCACTAGTACTATGTAATTGAGTAACTTAATGATGTAACTAAAATGGTAACACTGTAATGATGACACTTTAACAATGACACTTTTCTCTTAGTTCTCAAAAAGGTGAAGCACAGAGTTGTAGAGAATATGAACTCTAACACTGCAGATGCTTTGGGTCTTAGTAGAGCCATACTTTGTAATGGTGAGTATATCTCTAGAACAGTGTTCCCCAAAGTGTGGTACTCGTACCCCTTGGAGTACGGGAAGTGTTTTTTTGGGTATGCTCTGTAAATGAAAAAATAATTTATTTTTTTTTGATTAAAGTATATAGAATTTTTTTTTAAACAAGGGATACTCGGTGTCATGAAAATTATGGACAGATGCACAGTTGAAAGTTTGGGAAATGCTGGTCTGGAGCCATCATTCAGTTATGAAAAATAACTCCAAAATACAAATTAAAAATCTATCATAAATGCAAGGTAAACAAAAAAACTTTTATCAGTGTGGCATTTTTGGCAGTAATTATAAATTGATGATACTTGTCCCCACAGTTTCTATAATTTACTAACTAAGAAAGGGGTTGGACTTTTATAAAGCTTTTAAGCAGATTGAGAAGACAAAAACAAATTGTGAAAATGAAACATTTTATTTTAGCTTTAATTAAATGACATTGTCTTTTAACAAAAACTTACCTGTAATGTTTTATTGACACAATTTGTTTGTGTCTTATGAATGAAGCTCACTGTTACTAACCTGTGTCTTCAGATGGTTTGCTAAAGAAGTTGGAGGAGATGGAAAGGACGGCCACTATGTACAGTGGACTCATCATACAGACTCGAAGACTGCTCAAAGCTATATTTGACTTGTCGCAGTCTCATAAAGGTTGCTCAAAGATTATTTACTCTTATTATATTTATTTTATTTTAAGATTACAACAAAAAAAATAACACTTGTAATATTTAGTCAATGTCCTAATATGTTAATATGTTATTTTGTTTGCTGATATCTCTAATTGTTATTAGTTATGAGCCTGAACTCAATGCTGCACATATTCATAAATATACATACATTCAAGGTGGCCCAAAAAATGTGATTACATCGCTGTATTTTCAGAAACATAAACAAAGTTCAAACGCTTACAAAAAGTCATTGAGGAGTAGGGAAAGTTGGGGGGGTGGGGGACGGGACTTAAACAAGTTTTTTTATTTGCGTGACAATTTTCATACAACTGTACATGGAAATACATTATATTAATTCAATTATTTAACCTTTTGTTACGAGATATTCTCACTTTCTCTGAGCCATCCTGTATATATATATATATATATAAATCAATATATACAGTTAATAAAAGCTTACCCACAATTCCTCTGATCCATCTTTCAGCTTTTGGTGAAGTTTTCTGTGGGATAGGGGTTCGTGAGCCACAGCCGGCGGCCAGTGAGGCATTCTCTCAGTTTGGTGAAGCCCATCGTAACATGGAGAAGTTTGCAATCAAAATGTTGAAGACGGTCAAGCCGATGATAAGTGACCTCAACACATTCCTTCACAAGGCCGTGCCAGACACCCGGCTGACAGTTAGGAAATATCTCGACGATAAATTTGAATATCTTGTATGTTGTTAATTTCACTTTTTGCTAACTTGTTTTGTATATAGTATTTTTTTTCAAGTACATGTAGTTCTGAAATGTAAATGACAAGCCATGAATGTCTCCAAATATTTATTTTTGCAATTATAGGTTAAATAATCCTTTGTAATGTATGGTAGATATTTCTCGTGATGCACAGTCTGGCATTCAGAAACCTATAATAATGATATTGTTGATAAATTTGTTGTCGATGCACTATGCGGCATTCGGAAACCTATAGTAATGAAAGTTTAGGTAGATGCACTGCGTGGCATTCAGAAACTGATAGAAGAACTCTTATTGTAACTTAGAAGTTATTGCTGTACATTGTCAGGTGATAGTAGATTTTTTTTAATGAATAAAGTGTTTTATCTGTGGAGTATGTTTTCCTATGAAAAGATTGGGGGGGGGGGGGGTGGGAAAAGAGAAAATAAATAAATTTGTTACTTTTTTTTTTTTAATTTTTTTTAGTGGTGAGTTGGAACATTTTTTTTTTTTTTTTTTTTTTTTTTTTCTATTGAAAAATTGGGGGGGGGGGGCTGTGAAAAGAGAGAATAAATAAATTTGTTACTTTTTTCTTTCTAATTTATATTCAGAGTGAGCTGGAAACTATTTTCTTTTAATTTTTTTTTGTGGTGGCCTGTATTATTTTTGTGGTGATCATAATTGTTTGGTTTTTTGAAATTCTCCCTATTTTCATCTTTTTTGTTGTTAACTTTTTGTCCTTAGTCTTACTGTTTGAAAGTGAAAGAGATGGACGATGAGGAGTACAGCTATGCAGCATTACAAGAACCACTGTACAGGGTGGAGACAGGCAATTATGAATATAGGTAAATAAGGGATTAACTTTTAAAGGGTTAATAACGGAGAGGACAAGATTCAATGTTGATGGAGTCACATTACCATGGAGCACACGAATAGGTGGAATAAATGCACTTTAAAATAATTTGTGGACATCCTGGTGTCACATTACCCCTATTTTATTTCCTTGTTGAGTCTGGTTCCGCTATTTAACTTTGATCGTGGTTTCAATCCGATAAATGTTAATGAATCATCGATGTGGAGCACTGTCACTTCATTGAGGACTTAATAACAGCCTAGTTGCAATCATTTATCATTGCACCCCCCCCCCTTACCTTTTCCCAATGCCTTTTACCTGCTGCGCTTCATTCTATGTTGAATATAATGACAGTAGGTATCCTCCCTTGTTTGATTACATTTCCATGCATTTTTTTATAACAGGAGTTGATCAATATCAAGATTTAATCGATATCAAGATTGAATCAATATCTAGATTTAATCAATATCAAGATTTAATCAATATATAGATTTAATCAATATCAAGATTTAATCAATATCTAGATTTAATCAATATCAAGATTTAATCAATATCAAGATTTAATCAATATCAAGATTTAATCAATATCTAGATTTAATCAGTATCAAGATTTAATCAATATCTAGATTTAATCAATATCAAGATTTAATCAATATCATGTGAATAATCTTGTTGTCTTGTCAGATTGGTATTGAGGTGCAGACAAGAAGCAAGGACAAGATTTGCCAAAATGAGGTCAGATGTGCTTGTCAAGATGGAATTACTTGACCAGAAGCATGGTAAACCATTATTGTTGACTTTGGTCATGACTGCAGCAGATTCACTCAGTCCTGTCATCTCATTTGTCATTTTTTCTTTGTACTAAGCTAAGACTGTGTTTTCTTAGTGAAATTAATTAATATTTCATTTATTTTTGTAAGGATTTCATCTATATGTATGACCTAATATTTCGAACTACACTTATCAGTTTAAATGAGGAATAATTTCTCCAGCTAACAATTGTGTCAATAGACTGATTGAAAACAACAATGTAAATGTGACTGTCTGGATGTGTTTTTGGCAATTGTATGTCCCCTGCTGGACTGAATGAAGAGGTGTCTGGTGGATGTGTTTTTGGCAATTGTATGTCCCCTGCTGGACTGAATGAAGAGGTGTCTGGTGGATGTGTTTTTGGCAATTGTATGTCCCCTGCTGGACTGAATGAAGAGGTGTCTGGTGGATGTGTTTTTGGCAATTGTATGTCCCCTGCTGGACTGAATGAAGAGGTGTCTGGTGGATGTGTTTTTGGCAATTGTATGTCCCCTGCTGGACTGAATGAAGAGGTGTCTGGTGGATGTGTTTTTGGCAATTGTATGTCCCCTGCTGGACTGAATGAAGAGGTGTCTGGTGGATGTGTTTTTGGCAATTGTATGTCCCCTGCTGGACTGAATGAAGAGGTGTCTGGTGGATGTGTTTTTGGCAATTGCATGTCCCCTGCTGGACTGAATGAAGAGATGTCTGGTGGATGCGTTTTTGGCAATTGCATGTCCCCTGCTGGACTGAATGAAGAGGTGTCTGGTGGATGTGTTTTTGGCAATTGCATGTCCCCTGCTGGACTGAATGAAGAGGTGTCTTGTGGATGTGTTTTTGGCAATTGTATGTCCCCCGCTGGACTGACTGAAGAGGTGTCTGGCAGGAATGAGTCATGTTGTTAGTTAACTTTGAATACGTTAAAGCCAATGTCATTCTAGAAGTCATGTATGGGATTGACAGTGATAGGCTTTCATTCTTTGATCTGGATCTAATCTAGTTTATTTATTAGTGAGTTCCCCATTGTCTTGACTCTATCACTTTCTCTGATCTATTCCCACCAGTTCAATCTATCACTTTTTCTGATCTATTCCCACTAGTTCAATCTTTCACTTCCTCTGATCTATTCCCACCAGTTCAATCTATCACTTTTTCTGATCTATTCCCACTAGTACAATCTTTCACTTCCTCTGATCTATTCCCACCAGTTCAATCTATCACTTTTTCTGATCTATTCCCACTAGTTCAATCTTTCACTTCCTCTGATCTATTCCCACCACTTCAATCTATCACTTTTTCTGATCTATTCCCACCAGTTCAATCTATCACTTTCTCTGATCTATTCCCACCAGTTCAATCTATCACTTTTTCTGATCTATTCCCACCAGTTCAATCTATCACTTTTTCTGATTTATTTCCACCAGTTCAATCTATCACTTTTTCTGATCTATTCCCACCAGTTCAATCTATCACTTTCTCTGATCTATTCCCACCACTTCAATCTATCACTTTCTCTGATCTATTCCCAACCGTTCAATCTATAGCTTCCTCTGATCTATTCCCACCACTTCAATCTATCACTTTCTCTGATCTATTCCCAACCGTTCAATCTATAGCTTCCTCTGATCTATTCCCACCACTTCAATCTATCACTTTCTCTGATCTATTCCCACCACTTCAATCTATCACTTTCTCTGATCTATTCCCACTAGTTCAATCTATCACTTTCTCTGATCTATTCCCACCACTTCAATCTATCACTTTCTTTGATCTATTCCCATCAGTTCAATCTATCACTTTCTCTGATCTATTCCCACCAGTTCAATCTATCACTTTCTCTGATCTATTCCCACCAGCTCAATCTATCACTTTCTCTGATATATTCCCACCAGCTCAATCTATCACTTTCTCTGATCTATTCCCACTAGTTCAATCTATCACTTTCTCTGATCTATTCCCACCACTTCAATCTATCACTTTCTCTGATCTATTCCCATCAGTTCAATCTATCACTTTCTCTGATCTATTCCCACCAGTTCAATCTATCACTTTCTCTGATCTATTCCCACCAGCTCAATCTATCACTTTCTCTGATATATTCCCACCAGCTCAATCTATCACTTTCTCTGATCTATTCCCATCAGTTCAATCTATCACTCTCTCTGATCTATTCCCATCAGTTCAATCTATCACTTTCTCTGATCTATTCCCACCAGTTCAAGACATTGTATTCCAACTCCAGAAGTTTGTCACAGCCATGGCCAAGTATCACACAGACTGCCATGATGTCATGAAGAATGCTGTAGTCTTCCCCATTGAGGTGGATTTGTCCAGGGGGACGTTCACTTATGACAGTGCCAACAACTTTAATGATGGTGGTGATGATGAGGAGGAAGAGGAAGATGACGATGATGAAATGATTGGGCAAGATGCCCCAGATGCTCAGGGTGGAGTTCTGACGGGGGATTTGTTGGGAGATTAAAACTGTTGGATAAAAATAGGACAGTCAAACGTGTTATAGGAGTGATTGAATTATAGAGAAGTTATATTGCTAGGATGGTCTAACTTTTTATATTAATGAATAAACTATAGAGAAGTTTTACCTGGCATGGTCTAACTCAGATGAAGGATTTAAAGTCAGTGAACATCTGAAATATTTCAATCTTGCACATTGTCCAAGCCAAGTTTTTATTTTAATGGGTAAGTTTAATTTTATTTATACCTTTAAAAACCAACTGAATCAAGACCTCAATCAAAAGCTCTTGTCATGCGATCAATGAGGGAGTACAACAATGTCAAGAATGATGTGAATATAAAATGTTGAAATTGGATGTAGATCAAATTTAAATTTCAGTTATTGCTGACCAAGTATACATTATAATAATTTTATAAGCACAAGGAAAGTTCAGTTATTGGTAACCGAGTGCACATTATAACCAAATTGAAAGTTCAGTTATTGGAAACCGAGTGCACATTATGACCACATGGAAAGTTCAGTTATTGGTAACCAAGTGCACATTACATTCAATGAGAATTGAAATGTTTAATTAAATTGAATCTTTCTAGAAGTCGTCAATACAGATGTGCTTGATAGTATTTACTCCTTCCAGTCCAAATGCTAACAACCACATGTTGAGTGAGACAACTACAATAGTTGAGTGAGACAACCGCAATGGTTGCGTGAGACAACCACAATGGTTGAGTGAGACAACCACAATGGTTGAGTGAGACAACCGCAATGGTTGAGTGAGACAACCGAAATGGTTGAGTGATCATGTTCTCTGTACTTATTTCAATTGATGATGATGTACCATTGCTTACATTTAGTGAAGTATGTTCAATATGAATTCAGTTAAAGGTGTCTTCTATCAGCATTGTCTTATATTTATCTCCAGCAAAGTAATACCAATTTATTTTTTAACTGAATTCTTGTTTTAACATTTCTGTTACAATGGTTGTCGCATAATGATATTTATGGAAAATTAACTGTTTACATTGGCCACATTTTTTCCAGCATTCCTGTATGTGTCTTCGTCTGTGTGTAAATTATGTGTATTTTTAACTTGCTGAATTAGTTGTCTACATTATATTTATTGACCAGGGCTGTGTTGGACATATTAGTCAAATTTTGCAATTGTGATTAATTTTTATTTTATAAAAAATAATGTGATACAATAATCATTTGGAAAAAAAAAATTCCCTGGATAGCAAAGTGACTTGAAAATTTATTTAACTGTAAATAAATTTGACTTGTGTGGACATTATTTCTGGTATGAAGAACCTGATCTCTTGAAATATCTTTCATCTGATAGGAAGAGTGGTTATTATTTATGCACAAAGTTTTATTTTATTGAGAGATCTGAATTCATTATTTCATTGATGCTATAATTTATGTAGATCCGTCACAACTAATACACATTTTCTAATTCAATATTGTGCATTAAAGTTTTTCATTTTTTATCAATTCTATAATGTTAAGAATATTTTGATAATAGTTCAGTATATTGGATTTCTATCAACAGGTCCCATTCATTATCTGTCTGGAGATTTTGACTAGAAGATTATTACAAATTCAACTTTTAAATTATAATTAAAAGAAATTTTTGTTGTTATTAATTTGAACTGTGTACTAACTGAAATATGCTTTTTTAAAAACATTTCCATAGAAAGTAAGCCAACATGCAATCACTTCAGAAATTATTTGATGTGTAAACCAAATACCGGTAAAATAAAAGAATGGCAAATGATATCTTAGGTCTGGAGAAAAATTGGTTGTCTCCTGAATTATTTTTAGTTTTGTCTAGCTCCTGAATAAAATCCATTAATTCTGTAAGAAATCATTTGTCATATCCTCTGCTAAGAAAACTCATTCTACCAAGGCCTAGCTATTTAAACTTGCAGGCTTGTTTGTCAAGATTATATTCTAGGCATTCTTCTTAAAATAGAAGTGGTGCTTGGACGAGAAAGTTTCCTATATAATGGGATATCATTTCGGATTTACATAGAGGGTGCTGATGTTTCTGAAGTATAAGGTCAAGTATTTTCATCCACTAAGCTGTTGTTTCTAAGGTACATTCCTAGTCAAAAGGACCAATGTTTTACGTTTGTGAAAAGTGTATTTGTGCAATAAACGAAACATTTCTGAAAAGTTGAATTAATTTGTGTTTTTTGGGGTTTTATTTCAGTACTTTCAATAAATTTCTTATGACATAGGTATAGTTTTTTTTGGATATACTACAATAAGTTGTTCTGCTATGATAGCATTCACTTTTTAAAGTACACTTTTTAAAAAATATTATAACTTTAATATAGTGAATTAACAAATAACATTTTAAGCATTATATTTTAATTAAATTGAACAATGACATTAAATCAACAAGTCAAATTTCAGAAGCACACAAAGATCATTTACATCTATACAAACAACAAGCAGAAAAAAATGTGCCTCAACAAGTTTAATACTTTTGACACTGTCACTGTCAGGTCATGCTAGTACACAAAAGCCCATTTCTTCTGGCCTCTACGATTTCTAATCAAACTGTCACTGTCAGGTCATGCTAGTACACAAAAGCCCATTTCTTCTGGCCTCTACAATTTCTATTCAATCTGACAAACACACACCTCACAGCACCACCCCCCCCCCAGCTGTTCTTGTAGTAATGAAGACATGAATAAAATGCTGCTACTTTCAGGATTTATAAAAACAAAAGATAAGAAATCATTAAATAATGCAAAAGAAGCACAATGTTCAAATAAAACCAATAAGGTATGTTTAATCCTCTGTGAAGCCAATAGATTCTATCAACACCCGCTGAGAAGACACCTTGCGCACCTCACAAGCAATTAATTTTATTGGTGGAAAAAACAAACATTATTAAAAGAGTTACATAATACGAATATCAATAATTGTCTCCTTTAGCACAAAACAATTTTGATCAAAGTCAAAGCTATAAAAAAATATAAAAAATCCTTTTGTTAGTTTTACATAATATAATATAAAGGTAAAGGCAAATAACATTCTGATTCCTATCACAATGCTTTCTATTTTCTGTTTAATTTTAAGTCACGTGGGTCTCGTTATATGATTTGATCAGTACATCCACAACTGAAGGCCAAAAAATTTTGTAACTAATAGATTATTTGTTCTCATTCACACAATATGTACCATAGTAATATATTTGCTTTATTCTGTCACAGGATTTTGACAACATAATTCCTCATAACCAAAGCAGGTTTAAAGATTTACAATGATAAATATGGTCATGTTAATCATGGACATGATTGCAAAAGCCATGGAGGTGGTGGTGGTGCATATGTTGCTGGTTTGGTTAAGTGATGAAAAAAAGACTGCTCATATGTCAGAATATTTCTATACTTCAATAATGACATTTATTCTCCTGGGACACAACATGACGTAAGGCACCAAGTGATGCAGAAATTATAGTTTAAAATCTTTAGCTTTTGCAGTTCAAGATCGATTGGAGAATAATTGTTTTGAACCAATCAACAGAAGGCAATCAGTTTAGAGATAACTTTGGCTAATTTAGCAGAAATTATTTGTGACAAAAGCAAGTTGACTAAATTATGCACACCCACAAACACTATTTCATTTCTAATTTAATTTCTGTAGTTTACCACATGAATCAAACGTGATTAGATATTTTTGTGCAGCAGAAAATATTCAAAGATTCTTTGAAGTTCAACACTGAAAAAGTATGATACTCAAATATGCACTGCTTAGGTTTGTAACACACTGACAATTAAGAAACATTGCTTCAGAACTTGTCAATATTAAAACATGAAGAAAGGAAATAAAAATATATGAATATATGTCACATTAATTCCACTAACCAGGTCACAGAATGAGAATAATTATTAGAGTCATCATAACCTTGCACGTGTTTAATGACATATCTTTATGTCTCATCTTCCCTACAGACAGTAAATGCGGTGATAAAGAGATTAGCCTTAAACTGTAATGATAAAGAGATTAGCCTTAAACTGTAGTGATAAAGAGATTAGCCTTAAACTGTAGTGATAAAGAGATTAACCTTAAACTGTAGTGATAAAGAGATTAGCCTTAAACTGTAGTGATAAAGAGATTAGCCTTAAACTGTAGTGATAAAGAGATTAGTATTAAGGCTAAGTTTTTTTATTTAAAAACTGGATATAATTAGCAGTTATTTTTTGTATTCCAGTAAAGCAGTACAGAAATTTAAAGAGTAAAGAAAGCATTCCTAAAAACACATCATGGAGGCATTATTTTGATAGCATTTGGAGTGTTTAATTGCTGTTTCATTGTGGGGTTAAGTGAAAAATAGTGAGTTTAAATTGATAACTATATTTTTGGTTAAAATGTAACCCTTAATGGTAAAATTAATTAAGAAATCTGGTGATGAATAAGGGGGTATGTGCTTGTTGAAACTAAATGGAAAATATGTGGTTGGTATACCTGTGTGGTTGGTATACCTGTGTGGTTGGTATACCTGTGTGGTTTAATAGTGTAGGTGGAACAGTGTGAAATAAATTGTTGGCTAAGTCTGTGGTTCATTGTTGAGTCAATGTAGTAATAATAATAAATGTTGTTTTATTAAAATATGAGGTTAAGTTGATGAACTAACATGTGGATAAATTGGTGCCTTTACCTCAAAAGAGAATAAAATCAATACCATTTCACACCAAATGTTTCTCATTTGTATTTAAAAGCATTAGATGAGAAGTTAAAGCACATGAACTGAACAGTCAAATAAAATAACACAATAAATAGTTTCTGTCAAAAGGTTTTTTCTATAATAAAGGTCATAAGATGATATGAGTTGTCTGACAGGATTAAAATATATAAATTATAGCTTAAAATATTAAAATAGCTTTTGGAAAAAAATGAAAATGAAGGTTGTAATTATACAACATTAAAAAGTCTCACAATCAGAAGCTTCTTAACAAATAATAATATGTTTTATTTTGTCATTCATTTTACCTGCATATTTGAGGGGGTTTTTTCAGTACAGGTTAATTTTAATCAAAATTTTAATAGAGAATTTTAAAAAAAGAATTTTCTCTAGTATTTAAAAAGTCTTGATTTTCCTAATTAATTTAAATGATGGTACATTATAGTTATTTGTTTAAGACAATAAAAAAAATGTTTTGATGCAATCAGAATTTTATCTTAACAAACTGAAGACAAATAATTAAAAAATGAACTAAAAAAGTGCTGTATCATGTTTCATGATTTACTTCATTGTAATATTCTTCATATTTGCATTATTAACTTTAAATGGGTTAAAACTCTTTTAATTAACAGTGTAATAAATTAATGACCAGTGAAGTCTGGGGTGGAACAAAAGATAAAGTGTTACAATGTTTGATTTTTTAGCTTCATGATTTGAATATATATTATATATTTATGACAATTTCCTGCGGTCTCCAGTTTTCTAAAATTTGTTAAAACCTCATCTGAGAGTGAAACATATCTGTTCTAATGGTGAAAATTTGGAGAACTTGGTGGTGACATTATTTGTCTCAGCCAAAGTATTTTGTCATGTAAACACAAACTGGCAAGCAGTTCCATATTTTAATTTGATAAGCAATGGTTAAGAAAATCAGACAGCATTTAATGCATGATGCAAATTTATAAGTTAAGTTGGACAGTTAATTTTAAATTGGAAGAGTTCAATGAACTTTTAAGAGTTTGTGGTTGTTCAAACATTTTATGTAGTTTTAAAACTGTTTTGTGTAGTCTAGGAAGAGACATGGTTTAAAATGGAATGGAAAATTCACATATTCTGATTTGCATGAAGGTAGCCTCAGGATTCCTTTTTATCATTCATGTTATCATCTATAACTTCTGTGGCACATCTTCTGGGGAACCAGCCGCGTAACCTTTTTTGAACTGTGCATAGACAAAAACTCGTTAATGATGCAGTTATTGGGGAAATTGTAATAAAGATATTTATTTTTTGACCAAAACAAAAAACAAGGTTGTGATCATTGTTACGAACCGGGTCTTACTTAAAAGGTTTGTTGGCTTCGTTGTCTAGGGGTTTAATTATATGTATACTTCACAAACCATTATTCTCATATTAAATATCTTGATTACATAAATAAGGTACAGCTTCAACTGCCATTGCTCACGAGACCACAACACATAATAATCTACGTCACACCCGCTTTCGCGCAATACGTCACAAAATATACAACATTTAATAAAACATCTACCCAAATAATCTCTAAACAACATGCAATCACAAAATACATTCAAGTCCTTAACAATCATACATGTTAAAGGAAGTTTATGCCACTATGAGAATCAGGTTGAGAAGACTGTATTCAAAATGTTCCCATGATATTTTACGAGTTTTACAACTTATAAGAAAATAATCATATTTACCTTTGTTACCGTCAACATAATCTGTGACAATTTTACAGCCGTACATCCATCGTCTGAGGAATAATATCTTCCATTAGTTCAAGAAATCAAACATACCTTTAAGAACAATATGCAGAACTGAGCATATCATTTAAATATGTATGACTAAGTGCAGTTTGCAAAAAGATGAATTTTCAGAGAAATTACTTATATTTATTTTCATTTCAACAATCCCAGTGGTAACTAATACATTTTTGAAAGAGATATGGAAGAAATATATCCTTTAAAAAAAAACTCAACTAGTAATGAATGATATAGCTAAATTGTTATATATTTAATTAATTTTATTGCTGGCCTTTTCTTAAAATAAGTACTCACTTCTTCCATCGCGTAACCAGTACTTTGTCCCCTATCTCCACAGACAGGCGAGGTTCATCAGTACATGGTATACACAAGCCTGTACGAAAACCTTTAGATATGGGACACATAGACCCACTGTATTTTTCTGTAACCATGTATTCAAGAGTTCTTTCCCTTTTGTCTCTTTTTTGTATTATCTGCTCAATCTGCAATTGTGGTTCCAGAATTAATTTTAAAAGATCAGGTCTATTTATACACATTTAATTTTACAATATCTAAACTGAAACTCAATTTTACATATAAATTCTATCTAATTATTGCCTTAAAAGCATAAAAAATCATGGCCAGATTAAAAGGCTGTCCCAATAACAAGACTGCATTGAGCAAATTAAAAAAAAACCGGACTAATTCAATCAAGAATGAAAAATACTGAAACAAATTATACAGATAAGTGAAAAAAATAGGGTTTTTTAAATTGAATTCTTGTCCTGTTACTGGAATGTCTTGAATAGACCCTGGAAAGAATGTGCGCTTTTTCTACAAATCTGGCTTGACTTTTTCTAAAAGTATCTTCAGCTTAGGACTATAGAGAGGGAGGCAATACTAAAGCGTTTCTGATGGTTTATTACCATAAGTGAAAAAGTCTTGATTTAAAGACAATTTGTCACATAAAAAAGTAACATTACTAAATTATTATTGCTCTTAGACCATATTCTCAAATAAAAGCCTGCACCAATTAACCCTATAAACTTATTCATCAAAATAATCTGTCTAAACTTGTCTAATCATAAAGTGTTCAAATATGCAGTTACTATCTTATGTTTTTTTCCTTCTAACACTACATTATAAGAGTGACATATAACCTAAGTCTGCAAGAACCCCATGGATCCAATTAGACTCTGGGTTTTAGGGTCAGAGTTAGGCTTTGTTAGTTTGATAAAATAAATAACTAACGGTTAAAGTAAACTGGTGACATTTATCTGCCACATCCCAATGGAAGCCATTAGACTTTGGCCGTCCCTTCAAAGTAAAGACTTGCTTCAAGTTCTCCTTCCAGCCCAAGTTATAAGGGTAGATAAAGTCCCCTTCATCTTCAGTTCTGTCTCTGTCAAGAGCCTGTCAACAAATTGTTGCCATGACATAAGTTCAGACCTGTTTACCCTCAAACTCTTAAAATCGTACAATATCATCACAAAATCATTCAATACATTATCTTTAATAGTAAAAAATAAACGTACAGTAAATATAATGTATACACCTCAAAATCATACATTTTACGCCAAAACATTAGAGTAAACAGGTCTGTAAGAATTTTTGCTACTTCAGTAACAATGATGTATTATCACAATATCAGAATAATTATCAAGACAATGTTATAGTTGTATAGCCTTAATATATCTGAGTATCCTTCAAATTATCATTTAAAAACACAGTACCTTGTCGATAATCCATGACTCTATACCAGTTTCATTCTTTAAAACACTTCGAATCTGCAGAGAAAATATATATGTTAACATTAATTTTAATCCATTGTAATTTACTTGTATGATTGTATGAGGCTACAATCTCAGAAACTAAACATTACTATTTTTCTTTTACATAAGAAGACATTTTTGAATGTCGCCAGGTTGATTTTTATTCACAGAAAAAAACAATTGCATCAACACATTACAGCTTTGTATTCACACACGGCCATGGATATCTTGAGTCGCCTTACATATAATACATTTAATTTTTTTTAAAGAACCAAATAAACCATAAACCAAATGAAATTCTAGGAATTTAATTTAAAGCGCAGTTTCCTTCCCCCTCAGATATTTAATATTTAAACCTTTAACATCCAATCCACTAAATTGGTCTTGGTGAAATCATTTCCAGATCTCAACACTTGGAGGTCATGGAGTGGCTATGCCAGTTATTAAATTAACTATATACATTTCAGGTAAGAAGCCGACTCACTTGAATATAGAACAACATGCCAACAGCAATGATCACTCCGATAGCCAGACCAACTGCAAACATAGTGACTACAAATCCCCATACACCAAGGTAAACAATGGGCTCTTTTGGTCTAAAATGGTAATAGTAATGCTGGAAACACAGTGATGAATTATTCTTTAGTGTCCATTAATTAGCTTCAAGTATAACAGGTAATTGTTAAGAATTGTTTTTAAAATTTAAAACTACTACTCATAAATAACAGTTTTTCTCCCCCATGTGTCAAGCACTTTAACAAGCATAATTAAAATTTTTATGGAAAGCAAAAAACAAGCAATATATAATACTGTACATTTGTGTAGCACAACATTTTCATGATATATTATTTTATTCATGTATAAAAAGAATATATAAAATAGAAATAATTAGATACTTACAAAATTTAATGCTCTGTAAATAGATGGCACAAATATTGTAAGTGCATGAATGCAGCCAATGGGAGCAAATAATAAAAACCAGCAGAAATTTCCATGATTGAAGTGACCACAACATGTGTTAATCCATGGGCAATGATGGTCCATTTTCATGACACACCTATAAGATTTTTGAAAAAAAACAAAACACATTCATATCTTTCAACAATAATGTTGGGTTCAAACTTAACAATGTGCATCAAATGAGCTGCTACAAGTTTATTGCTCACCTGCCACATTTTCTACAGTGGTGTGATCTTGGTGCTTTATAACCTTCACATGCTTCACAGAACTGAAGATACTTCACGTGCTCAGGATTCTTCTAAAAAAACAAAACAAACAAAAAACAAATTACATTGTAAAAAATTTCATTTCAAATGTTAAATTTTTTTTTTTAAATGGTTGTATAATATAAGACTCAAATAATCACAGCCAACGGTTTTAACTAGACTATTCATTTGTTTCTTTCCTTTTTCAAAAGTTAAAACATTCCTTATACATTCATTATATATTCATTATATATTATAAATATGGTTGAAATAATATCCATACAAAAAAAAAAAGTAATTTATATATATATATTGTCATCATAAAGGGGATTATACTTACTGGTCTCCATTTCATGGGGACAAATCCTGGTCCTCGTATACAAGCAGCAAAATAGTTAAATAAAGTTAAGGAAACCCAAAATAAGAAGCAAATAAAATTCAGGAATCCACCAATGCTAAGGTGAGGTGGCCACCACATGACATGACATCTTATGGCTACCCAGCTGATTGTGAAAATGACTGACAAGGCTAAAATAGGACCCCAGTGAAAAAATTGCCTCCATGTCCCAACAACTTCATAGCCCATTTTGAAAATTGTTGGTTAGTCAAAAATTTCAGTCTTATTTAATTCACTCTGCTTCTCAAATGTCTGGTAAACTTTTCATTTCTGCACCTGAGAAGAAAACACACAAAAAAAGTTTGAGAGTATAGCGAGCCTGCAGTTAAAGGTCATCTTGTTATTGGTGTGAGATGTTCAACAATCAAAATTTCATTAAATTTTTCTTATTATATTACAAGCTTGTAGGTAGAAATTCAAGTGAAGACAGAAGCAATAAAAATGAGCCAGTTAAGTTAATTAAAAATTACATAATTTGAGAATAGATATAATATATACTATATACCAATATAATGTCCAAATAAGAATTAATAATATTTATTTAGGATAAGATAAGATTCTTTTACTGATCCAAACAAATGGAAATGTTTTTTTGATTGCACTGTACATTTTTAGCACATAAATAAAGCAATTTGAACACAAGACATCTACATTAAATTATATCACTAGTGAAAAAAACAGCTATTAGTGAACTCTTTTAGCCTTATTAGGGACTAATTAGTTCTCATTTAGATTTGTGACTACTGGGGGAACATGCTGGTAAATTCGTACAGATTGGGGGACAAAATAATTTTTATATCTTTCAATCCTCGCCCTGAGAGAAAGAATTTATCCAAAAAGGGCCAATCCAAAGTATCTGTGATGAAGAGCGTGGGATGTATCAGCCAAAATGTGTTAAGTTTTACAATAACATCTTTCTTCAAATAGTTCTTCAAGTGAAGGATGTTTAGTGTGTCTTACGTTTCTAGCTTTCTTGATTAGTCTGTTGATTCTGTGTTTAATATTAGACGATGAATTCCCACACCAGCAGTTAATACTGAAATTAAGTAGGCTTCCAATTGTTGAACTGTAGTTAACGATTTGTTTGTTAACACTGAAATTGTACAGTTTTTTAAGGTAGAAAATTCTTTGGTTGAATTTTTAATACAGCATTTGGCCGTGCTCATGCCATGTTAGCTTATTATTAACGGTGACACCTAAGTACTTATATGTCCCTTCTTTCTCTACACTTTCATTTTTTATGTTGAGATCTGCAATCTGGTGTTTCCCCCTCTGGAAATCAACAACCATTCCCTTTGTTTTTGAGACATTCAGCTGGAGAAAATTTTCATCGCACCAATTGATAAAGCTTGCAACTAAGTTGCGGTATAAGCCTTCTCCCTCAGATATTAAGCCTAGGATGGTGCTATCATCAGAAAATTTACTAATGAAACGGTGTCGCTTGAGCTCTGAATATCACTGGTATATATTCATATTGTATACAGTACAGGGGAGAGAACGCAACCTTGTGGCGCCCCAGCGCTTATTCCTCTGGTTAGAGATAATTGGTCATTTACCTTGGCATATTGTAGGCGATTTGTTAAAAAGTTCAGTATCCAAGCTTGAATATTTAAATTTACACCTAACGAGGAAAGTTTCTTTTTCATTAAGAATTACTGAAAGAAGTAGAAGAGTTGTGGACCACTACAAAGACCTTTAGTTTGGTAGGGCCAGCTACTAAAGTTAACAGTACTTAGTACTAAACACACTGTCTACACCAGGGTTGCCAACTTTCCATTAATTATTTAAAAATATGAGCTAAAGTTACTTTCTTTAAATGACTTTAAAAAGGGAAACATTGTACAAAATTTATTTTATTTGTGGACCACTACTAAGACCTTTAGTTTGGTAGGGCCAGCTACTAAAGTTAACAGTACTTAGTACTAAACACACTGTCTACACCAGGGTTGCCAACTTTCCATTAATTCTTTAAAAATATGAGCTAAAGTTACTTTCTTTAAATGACTTTAAAAAGGGAAACATTGTACAAAATTTATTTTTGAACAGAAAAAAAAACAGGATATCTCAAGTTTTATGATTTTTTCTTACTTCCTTGAAACTTAAAAGAAATAATCAGGAGCAAGTCAAAACTGATGAGAATCCCATACAGTCGAAAATGTTATAAAATAGTCTCAAGCCACATGGTTAAATGACAGCATTGTTAAATGACAAAGTCATACCCTGATACTACAGACATAACATCATTATACTGATGTTTTTTTCATACATTATTTTAAAAATTTGTTTTGGATAAATTTTTACTTGTCCATAAAAGATGCTCAGATTTAAAGTGTCCAAGAATTTAATTTTTTTAAATTGGCATCCCTGGTTTACACTCTTGTAGTCAAGTATCATTTTAGGGAATTTAATTATGTTTTTCAGCGTTGAAATCTACATAAATCTAAATAAATAATTTAATTAATTAGAATCATAATATGAGACCATCTATAAATGAAACCACTCTATATGTGATCAAATTCCAGAAAATTTGACTGGCTGAACCAGTAGGCTCTGGAGCAAACCAGTTCACCAGACTTTAAAAAAAAAAAAAAACTTTTGGACCCACCCTGGGAGCCGCAAACTGGTTCAAAGGACTTTTCCCCTGAATTTAAGGTTTTACAGTTTTTCTGTTTTAGTGGTCTGCAATGTTCCAGTGTCTACTCCAATTAACATCCATGGATGACTGAAAATAGCACGGAAAAGTCAACAAACCGTTTTGTGGCCCCCCCAGGGTTGATCCAAATATTTTTTTTTAAATGCCTGTTTCTTGATTGGCTCACAAGCCAAAATCTTTAGAAACCCCACCCAGGGTGCCAAAATTGATTATGTCACCAATAAAAAAATATTGCATCTTGAAAATTATTTATTAATAATTTAAAAGGCTAAAATTTAGTAAAATAACAGTGGACGCTTGGAGGTATAATTAAATTCCACAAAACGAGATTTACTGTGTCACTCTACTCAACTACACTCTATTCTAAAACTAAATCCACTGCCATTACAACTACTATTACTATAAACTTACTTATTGTAATTATTTTAACTTTTAACTAACTAGAACATCTCTGTTACAATTGACCTGAGTTGACTCAATTAGTACTAACTATTTAATTATTTAACTATAGTCTACTATAGTATAGACTATATTATATAATATATAAATATGATTCATCGAGTGTTATTTAGTATAAGTATAAATGCTGTGCATTAATTTAAATGTATAATTTTACAAAAGTCGAGTTTTGGCTTGACTTGGTGATGGTAAAAATTCTTCGAATTTCTTTCCCTTGCATAAAAATAAAATACTTAATTTTATTTTATTGAAACAAAATATAAATTAAATCTAAAAGAAAAAAAAATACCTTTGAAAATGTTTACTTTAAATTTTTTAAATAAAATAATTCTTACAATATTCCGCAAGTTGTTACATTATTATGTTTTATTATCCTGTATTTAACAAAATTCTTTTCCCCCCCTCCCTTTTTTGATTTCTCTGTGGATGTGAATTTGATTTTTACACGCTAGTAACCCGGAAGACAACCAACTTCAGAAATGAAAGTGGAATACTATAAATGAAAGAGAATGCACGGTTCTTTTAGAAGCTTACAATTCAGATGGTTTAAATGACTTTTTAATCTAAATGAACAAACTGGTCTTATGAATTTTTTGATGTTACATTGTGATGACATTGATTGATGAGTATAATGGCAAGGTATGAAGCGGCATCGTCGATAATTGGAAATATCAACTTCAAAAAAGCTTTATTCCAGTCTCCATCACCAGTCCCAGAGACATCAAAAGCTGCTGCTGGACCAGGTAATCTGATTCCCATATTTTTTAATTGAAATTTAAGACCATAAGATTCTAGCTTGGGTTTTTAATAGCTGCTTCACCCTCTGCTTCAATTACACTTGTTCAGCATCTTGCTTGCACTTCAAAGTCAAAGCTTTTCTTTAACGTTACTTTTCTATTTTATTGTATGTGACCTAGGCCTAGGTTACTAGATACTTCAGTAAAAAAATTATAAAAATATTATAATTTTATAGAGCAAACTTCAAATAAAAAAATGAACCAGAATCAACTTTCTAGTTTTAGTACTTTTTGAGCTATACATTTTTTAAGTAAAGTGCAAGTTCTTTGATATTTTTTATATTATGAATAATTATGGACTGCACCACCATATTTTGTGACCCCATTCCACTGATCGCGCCATGAGAATTAACTCTTGTTTAAATTATGCTTTTTTAAATATTAATAATAAATAATAATAAACTTTAATTGAAAATCACACTTCATCCCCATAGGCATAGGCTTGAAGCACGGTACGAAGTCAACCATATTTAAAGAGAATTGAAAAAATCTATATTATACCACATTGAATTACAAAACGCAACATTACAAAAACTACAAACGAGATACTCATTCTAAGTCTTTCATCCCTTGTACCCATGAACAACACAAGCCAATATACATCTAGGAGATAATAGCTAGCTGGAAAAGATGGTAGACATCACCCCAGCAGGTGTTAGCGAAATAGATGTGTTTTTAATCAGTTTTGAAAGACACCAGTGTCTGGCTGTGTCTGAGAGCGACAGGAAGTGTGTTCCAAATTGTTGGGCCAGCAAATGCGAAAGTGCGCCTTCTGTAAGTCTCAAGGCGAACAAGTAGTATTGAGAGTTTGCCACTATATGATGAGCGGAGCTGTCCAGTGGGTATATAAGTCGTCATGAGCGCTTTGAGATAAGGCGGTGCCAGGTCATGCAAGCATCGGTAGCACAGAGTTGCAATTTTTTATTCTATGCGAGCGCTGACCGGCAGCCAATGCAACTCTCTCAGAAGTATTTTAGCATGGTCAAATTTGCGTTTGCGAAGAGCGCATTATTCTGTGCTTTTTTAATTTTATCCAGGAGCGTAGCTGAAAGACCCACCATGAGAGCATTGCAGTAGTCCATGCGTGACAGCACAAATCCACACATCAGCCTCTTTGTTGCATCAAACATTAAGAAAGGTCTGATATGACTAATTCTGCGCAGCTCTAGAATAATCGCCTTGCAAAGCATGTTAATGTGATTTTCCATAGTTAGTATTCTAAGTAGACACCCAGGTTTCGCACTGTTTGATCAAACTGAATCTGTATACCTGAGAGAGTAAGGGATGGTGTGTTGTTTACAGATTTTAGCTTTTGAGCGGTAGCAATGGGGATCAGCTCAGCCTTTTCATCGTTTAAATTGAGGCTTAGGACCGAGCTCTGGGGTACTCCAAATCAATAATAGATTGCTTCGAGGTCAAGCCATTTGCGATAAATGATTGGACCCGATTAGTCAGATACGAACTGAACCATCTCAGAACGGTATCGGTAAAACCAAATGTTTTTTGCAGACGTTGGAGAAGTATGCCGTGGTCAAGCGTTTCGAACGCTGCCGATAGATCAGGTAATGACCAAAGGGATACCTTGCCCTCATCACAAGATGGCAGAAGGTCATTTACGACATGCAACAGGGCTGTCTCATTAGAGTGATTTGCCATGTATGCTGACTGAAAAGGCTCAAACAAGTAAAACTGAATAATGTGGTTCAGTAGCTGGTGCAAAACGACTTTCTCTACGATTTTTGATACAAATGGTAGATTTGAGACAGGGCGATAATTTTCAAACACATTTGGGTCGAGATTTGCTTTCTGTAGCAGTCGAGTTACAACTGCTCTTTAAAAGAGGAAGGACCAATACCAGTTTTCAAAGACTGATTTATAATAATAGTTATGATAGGGACTATTTCATCCAAACATTCGTACAACAGCCCTGCCGGAAGAGGGTTGAGCATACATGACTTTTTCAGGGAGTCAACCAGGATTTTTTTCCCTTGCAATTCAGTGACCTCCAAAAATTCGCTCATAGGAGTGCCATTAAACGGCAAGAATTCAGGAGTATCTGTGCAAATGTCAAGTCTCACCCTGATTTTCGTAACTTTTGTAATAAAGAACTCTTTTAGACAGCTCACCTACAGCAATGTTATTTGGCAAAGATGTGTCCTTCCGTTTACCTGTCAGCTGACTCACAATACGAAATAAGTCCCTACTTAAGCTACAATCTACAATATGGTGACTGTCATATTCAGTCCTAGCTGCATGGACCAACTTCTTAGTTCGTTCCTTGTAATAAACAAAGATTTTTCGATGCAAGGTCAAGTCAGACTTTCGCCATTTGCGTGCGTCCTTTATTTCGGGCCTGAGCTATGGTGCAGATGGGTGGTCCCTAAAGTGTGGACAGTGGTGCATGTTTGTCTAAAATGACTGCGAGGCCACTTTTTTAGTCTGTCGCAGCGTCTTCTTCACTGCACCTGAGGGCTGCGACGTCACATCTGATGACCACTAGATCTATCTTTCAGAGGTCGTGGGATGTGCCTGTGAGCAGAAGGCGCCCTGGCTTCCTCAAGTCAAAGTCAAAGGTTACTGGGAAATGATCAGAGATCATTTTTTCTTCAATAATAAGGTTGCGGATCATAGCTGCACGGTCCTATCTGACAACTAGCCAATCTAGGTGTGACCCCGCTTCCCGCTTCTGTGTCGCGACACTGACAATCTGAGTCATTTCGTGTGTGCCCAGAGCTGATTTTAAGGTCTTACATGGCTGTTGATGGTGGAATCATAATGGCAGTTTGTGTCGCCTTTATGATTATGCTGTTGTTGGTGGAAGCATACATGTCAAGGAGCTGTAGAAACTCTGCAGTAAACTGACAGATCTTCAACTTATTTTGCTTATTAGGAGGTGGCCTATATATGCACAGAAACGCCATCACTTGGTCACCATAATTAAGTTGCATCTTGCACATCTCAAATGAAACAAACTTGTCCAATTTTGAGAATGCCACACTATTTTTGAGGGAGCTCCTGTAAAGGTTACTAGGACAAGTATAATGAACGTATAAAATGAGTACATCAATGAGAATTGGTACACATATACATCAATTATCAATATATATTGCTTTTCAAGATAAGAACTAATATGAAAGACATAGCCTTCGAATTTCTTAAAGAAATTTTAAGGGGAAAATGTGCTAATATACCTATGAATTTTCAATATTAAGGTTGATCAAATAAGGCAAAACAATATGTGGGAATGTAGGTCAAGATGTCCCCTATTGTGAACATGTCTTCCGGCAACTACATAGGAGACCTCCATAGTTTTTTACTATGCTGTTACTTGTTCTACTTCTACTTGTCTTGTTTGCTGATGAAGGCTCTAAGCCGAAACGTCCAAATCTTTTGTCCTGTCTTTTTATTCACGTTTAGCGTACCTTTTTATTATATTTCATTTACACAACTTGAATGGAGTCCATCAATTATTATCTTTTTATTTTGTAAACATTTGGAAGGATACCACAATTTTATGACAAAATAGTCCTTTCATTAATGATAAGGCACCAACATGCGAAAATTAAAAACTCTGATTTTTCTGCGCCGACTCTCATACATATTTTGAAGTAGTCTACCTTGCTTTACAGAAGTGCCTACTTTATTTGACTTGACTCAACTAAACTAATACTACAACACTTTTTTTTTAGTCTTAATCATGATTAGCAGATATGTTACCACAATCTTTCTTGTCTTTGGTCTTCTTATTACAGGATAAATATCACGATTATAATTGCAAATATTATTTTATATATAATTATAGTATAAGAAAAAGTTCAACACTACATTTATTTTTAAAAATATTGCCATGTGTCGCTATTTTAAAGATGGGATAAGTTATAGTTAAATTGTAGTCCTAATTTTAATAATTACGGCTATGGGTTTCTTGATCTGAATTAATAAATGGTTTGGGGGGAGAGTGATTTTAGGACACCCTAAAATCCACAACGTGAACCTTCATTGGCTTCCACAGGCCTCACACCTTGCGGTAGAACACTGTTGTAGCTCTGTTGTACAAGCGGACAGAAGACGCTACATTACAGAAATAATTCCAGTGCCAGTAGTAGCATCATGCCCTTTTGTTTGGCAATTTCATGTTTAGATTCTTCCAGATGAAAAGCAGCTGCTCCCTCTTTTTCTTAATGTTTCTATCCTTATGTTTTTCTTCAGAGATAGTCCCTTCCATGTCACTAATATACAAAGTACAGCTGGAACAAGATATCGACATGAATTTATATTACATCAAAAAAGGTATTTTGAAAGCTTACATTGTTATATATTTCTTTATATAGATTACATTCAAAGTTTTACACTATAACTATAGTTATATCATTTAAAGAGTGTTTTGAATTTCTGTCATTTATAATGGATAATGGATTACAGTGAGAGTCAAAGTGAGAGTCTGTGTTTTTCTAGGGTGATCCTATGCTACCAACTAATACCAGATAATATCCAATCATACATTTTATGTTTCCTTCCATCTTTTGTTTAAAGCTTCTCTCTGTTGAATTAAACACCGTAAACTTGATTAATTGAATCATAGAAGAGGATGCAGAACTTGAATTTGTTTCTCATCTGCTTATACTTATAGTTCCAGTATTTATTTGGATACTCTCCCTTTCTATCATTCCATGCGCTCTCTTTCCCATTCATTCCATCTGTTGTTTGGAAGTTAAGTGGTGCATAGCCAAGTTGGTATTGACCTTATGATGGGGTTAGCTCTGCTCCCTTAAGCCTTTTTGGGATTGCTAAGATGCCTGACTACTCTGACCATGAACAGTTCTCAGATGTACCACTAGACAACTTCACTGCATGGCAACCTACTCATGAGTAATTTCTTATGTTATGGTTCAAATTATGTCCAGAAGATAACACCTGGGAATTTTTTGAACTGTAGGTTTATTTCTATTGACATCTCTCTTAACAAGATCCTTTGAATGGGTTTGTTGTTTTTTTCTATTAACCAAAAATTACAAGGATTACAAATTTTACTTTTGTCTCTTATTACTATTTTGAAACTATTTTTGGTTGATTTTGTTTTTTCTAGACTTGCACATCCAGAGGCTGAAAGAGTTGAGGGAACTTGCCAGCAAGCTTCAGGATGACAACTGGAGATATGAGTCAGCTGAACAACTCACTGGACTGCAATAACTCTTAGTGTGGGTTTTCTCTCAATGACTTTTGTGAAAAGAAATTTAATATGTTAGCAAGAGTCTGAGGACAGCAAAGTACAATCTAACATCTAAATAATCTGATGGTTGTCTAAGGTTACTCTGATATAATACCCATAAGGGCACAGCATGGTATTGGGGGCTATAGTTTTCTTATTGTCACAGATGAGATGGTGGTGTGAGGTATAGCCCATCGCATACCATGCAGTATTGGTGTTGGTTAATGCGGGGCTGCACCTCTCTGTGATAGTTCAGTAATCCAGATGTTGAGGAATACCATGAAGACAACACAAACCTCCATGAATGACTAAGAAATTCCTGAGTAACAATTATAAACAAAAGAATGTATTGATCAATCTAATATAGTCTAGAAATGTTTCTTTTCTAACTGTTAACATCCAGTTATCTCCTGTGCTTAAAACCCCCAAAACATTACTCCCCTTCCTCCGAAAATCGCACCCCAGCTCATTTATCATTAAATAAAAGTTTTGCCACATATGGGGAAGTTCTTAACAAAAAACATTAATAAATGACTTGAAGAAGCAATGGAGCGCTGTTGTTATTAAACCCCAGCCCAGTCATTTGTGACAAGTATTATATAGGAAAATCAAAGTGGCTATTCGTACCTGGGTACCAGAAGTGAGAGTTTGAGATTTAAAAGCTATTTAAAATAATTGGACTATCCAAATAGCACTGAGTCAAAATGGACCTAGACACACAGCGCCGGCATTCGCGCCCGGGTACCATTAGACTCGAGCTATTCGGATGTCATTTGTGGTAGTTTATTTTAGTTAAACTGAAGAAGTAAGTTTACAAACATATAGTCCATTCAATTATCTTTCATTTGATACCTCATTTTGTCTTACAAACCCAACATTAAAATTTTAAATAGTTTTTAATCCCAACCTCTCACTTCTGGTACCCGTGTATGAATAGTCGCAGCCAAGGGAAATCGTGTCCATTCAAGTATAATAGTTCATTTATAAAATGTTCATTTCTGCTTGTATGTATTCTAATGTTATGTTAAAGATTGGGTCGGAGGTGCAGGATAAATATTTAGCAGTTTTTTTGTTGTTTCCCTGTCCACTTTCAATGAATGCCCGGGCAGACCTATTAATTTTGTCATAATTTGTTGCCACTGGCTAAGATGATATTTTTTTTCATCTGGTTTTTTTTGGGGGGTGGGGGTCATTTACTTGATGTAAATAAACTAAATAACAAATGCTTTTTTGTGAATATCACCAATCAAGGTCATCGTAAAGGTCAGATTTAATCAAAAGAAATGATGTTTAGAGAAACCTGGCACTTTCCATTAAAAAAGCCAACTTTTGTTTCAGAAAAGATCTTGACAGTTAACAATGGCAGGATCTCCTCTTATGCCAGGTCTTCCCAATCAGGGATGCCAGCACCACCAGGGGGTGCGATATTGCATTTCAAGGGGTGCAAAGGAAAAGAATATAAAAAAAAGAAAAGAACATTAGTCTTTAAGTTATGATATAAATGTTAATATATTTCTATTAACAATTTCCTTTATATAATAAGGTTATTTTTGTTGTTGTTAAGTTCCCCAGTGCTCTGCTATTCAATAAATAGGTAGAAGTCAATTATTTTAAAATGCATTTTTTTTTAAGGGGTTACAAGACTAGTCAAATAATTTGGGGTAAAGAAAAGGTTAGGAAACACAGTCTTATGCCATGATGTAATCTTATTTATCTAATATTTGAGGGCTACCAATGATCCCTTGTGACATCCAAATAAAGCCTGATGCTGTGATATTTCATGGCAAACATTTGAATGACCTGCCCTTGAGTCAACGAAACATTCATCATTTTTTGTATAGATTTATTTTTGTCATAAATGCATTCAAGAAATGTAATTTGATATAATATGCCTTCTTTATGAGTGATGTTACATTGTACCATGTTCTCTTTATGAATGATGTTCACATTATCATGTCTTCTTTAGGAATGATATTCACTGTATCATGCTATTTGTAATGATGTTCACTGTATCATCCTATTTGTAATGATGTTTGGTAGTGGCTCTATAGCAGCAACCAATGAGTTCACATCTTTAAGGGGAAGCAACACTGCAAGTGTAAGATGAAGTTTTAGTTGTATGAAAACTATGATAAACATTGGCCAGATTTAGTCTCTGATTATATGTCTTTTATATGTTTATAATGAATTTTCCATCATTAATTTTACTCTTTTTTAATGATTAAAACTTGGTTTTAAAATGATATAGTGTGAACAGAACTTTTTATTGAATCATAAAATGTTGAACTAATGTGAAATGTATAGCCTAACGATGTATAGTCTAATTTGAGGAAATATGAGTGCAAAGTGATGACAACTGGTGCTAGTTTCTATTGTGGTCCATGTCTTGAGGTGAGAGATGACATGGTTTGGCGGTAATTGACCGCAGAATGGTGAATGCTTATACATATTTTTTGTTTAATGCTAACTTACAACCCTGGCCGTCACCAAGGTATTTCCGTACCAGTATCTGAATGTTGTAACCTTTGACCTTTCACCACTCAGGCCTAGCAAACCTAAGACATGAGCTCTCCAGACGTCTTTCTTTTCTTCTACTCCCTCTATGACTGCCTTGTGTCACACGGTTTTCTTCTTACTACTAGCCACAGGCGCTTGTGGCTAATGGAGGGCCTAGGCGTTTGAGTAATGAAGGGCCTGGCGTTTGAGTAATGAAGGGCCTAGGCGTTTGAGTAATGAAGGGCCTATATATAGCATGAAGGGCTGATAGCATATAGGTAATGAAGGGTGTAACCGTGTAGATTAGGGAGGGCCGAGGCGTGTTGGTAATGAAGATATCGGCCTGCCCTTGCCCGAAAGAGTATGTTTCCATATCTCTGGATGAGGTCTTTCTGCCTTTTGTTACCCACTTACATCAAAGACGTCAACCACGCTTCAAAGGTATTTAATTCCCTAAAGTGCCTAAACATGATCGCTGATACAAGACACAGTTTTGACTTTCTACACATCTATTCCACATGCTGACGGGCTTAGGGCTTTGAAATTTTTTTCCTTGAAAACAAACCACATCCCTACTACCGGGTGACACTATTATCCGATTGGCTGAACTGGTACTCACCATTAACTCTTTTGAATTCAATGGTCATTTATTTGACAAAATTAGTAACGTTTCCAAGGGTACAAAAATGGGTCCTAGTTGTGCCTGCCTTTTTATGGGTCATTTTGAAAACATGTTAGAGCAGGGATACACTGGCCATATTTGCAGAATTTTATAAGAGTTACACTAAAGACGTCATTGGTCCTGGTAGTGTTCGTTGCTGCATCCACATACTGGCATCTGTGTAACGTTTGGGGGTATGATGTTGATATTCTAACAGCTCCTAGCTGATGCCAGGGCAGCCTTGAAGCTTTCGACCGATGTCGAGTTCACAGTGGCATCGTTCAGGTGGTTCCATGCTATTATTGTGCGTGGGAAGAAAGATTGTTGATACGGCACTGTATTGCACTGATGCACTTTGAAGCATTTGCTATTGTTTCGGGTGTAATTGTTTATGGGATTGTCAGTGCTGAAGTCAGTGTTCAGTGAGCGGTTTGCTCTGATCAGTCTACCCGGCTTCTGTGGGGTGAGGTACGTGCCTGCTGGGATGGCCGGCACCAGTCCCCTGACCACTCTATATTTATTTATTTAGGCATTTTTATATAAAGCTCTTACCATAAAGTTCTAAGCGCTTTACAATTATTAAAACATGTAAACTAAGTAAAATAAAAATGAGACACTAGGATAGTAACTACTATACTATAGAAACAATGAAAATGGCTATAAAACGAGGACACTTTGACACGTTTTGGCCTATACTTCAGGATCAACCCGAAACAGAAAATGAGGCAGGGCAAGGAGGGTGCATCACAGGTCATAGGCGGACCTAAACAAATGAGTTTTAAGGGACTTTTTGAAAATGTACGAGGTTTCACAATGACGGATATGGAAGGGGAGCTGGTTCCAGAACGTGGGCCCATGGAAGTAGAAGGAGCGTTCACCGATGGTCTTAGTTTTAGTTCTTGGGATTGAGAGGGTTCTACTGTCAATGGAAGAACGTAATTGTCTTGTGGGGATGTAAGGAAGCAACAGTTCAGAGCGATAGACAGGAAAGTGAGGGTCAGTGAACGAGTTGAAGCAAAGATTGGAAGACTTGTATTTGATGCGAGAGGATATTGGAAGTCAGTGGAGTTGCCGCATTTGTGTTTGAATGTGGTCATGTTTCTTTGATTTAAAAATGAGTCTGCATGCTGAGTTCTGTGCCTTCTGAAGAATATCAGGCGGAGTCCCTCTCGTCTGTCTTTAAAAAGGGGGGTGGGGGTGTCAAATCTTTTTAAGAGGCTAGTGACGAAGCCAGGAGTGGATTTGTAGTCTCGAGCGATAAAACGCACCGCGTTACGTTGAATTCGCTCCATCTTGTCCACGTCTTGCTTAAGGTGTGGGTCCCAGATGATCGCACCATATTCCAGCAGTGGACGGACGAGTACGAGATAGGCATTTCGTTTGCAGAAAGTTGGGCAGTGGCGCAGATTTCTTCGGATGAAACCCCTAGGGTGGAGTTGGCTTTTTTTTTCTTTTTTTTTTTTAAATTTTATTTATATGGCACCACTACGGTGGAAACAAATGAACTCCAACAATTTATTGATTTCTTAATCTCATTCCACCCATCTATAATTCAAAATGTACTTCCAAAATCTCTGAAAATTCTGTCAACTTTATGGAAATTACAATAATATTATGGTTATAAGAAAACGACGGATTGATCCCATCTGCCTACTACAAACCAACTGACAGCCTTAGTTACCTATTGCACTCATCCTCTCACCCCACATCATGCAAAGACTATACCTTTCTCCCAGCTTCTCAGACTACGTCGTCTCTGTCAGTCCGATGCAGACTATTTAGATAGGGCCAATGAAAGGATGGACTTCTTCTGCTCCAGATCCTATCCTGAAACTACTTTATCTCGGCACTCAATCGTATCAACACTAACACATCACACGGAGAGATGCTTTTAAACTTGTCAAAACAAAACAAAACAAAAAAAAGATAGAACAAACTCATACTAACCTACCATCTTCATAATGGGATTGCCAAAAAAAATATTCATAAAAGAATTGACGCGTACTTCTAGCTGACCTCGACACCAACAGGGTATTCTCATCCCGTCCACTTATTGTTTTGAGAGGGGACAAAAATCTAAGTGACTTTCTGGTTCACGGTCACCTTTGAACTGACCCGTCTTACGTTGGGACTAAACCATGCTCAAGAAGCCGTTGTAGGACTTGTCGCTATACACCGGAAACCAATAACATTAGCCTCCCTAAAGTTACTTTTAACATCAATGAGGGCTTCACGTGTGTTACTCGAAATGTGATCTATGCGGCTGTCTGCCGTAGATGCCGCTCCTGTTAATTGGGGAAACTGGAAGATAGGTTCACTGCACATCTTCGTGATATTGAACATGGTAAACCATCCCCGGTCTCATCCTATTTCAACGTAGGTATCACAAAGGGACATCAGATGTTTCCGTCACGGCACTGATTTCCTGTACCAACGCATCTTTGAGAGTTAGAAAAGAAAAAAAAATCAACTTTTCGGCACAATATCACCAAATTCTCTCTTTCTAGTGATCCTCAATTTCCCTGCATTACTTTTCTTATATTTTACATATTTCCTAAATATTTGTGTCCGTTAAAATATTATTTTTCACAGTAATATTACAAACATTCTTTTACTTCCTGTAATCTTGGTTTTGAAAACCCAACTTCCGGCAATAGCATAAATTGCAACCACATAAGTTTTTTTTAACTAGATTCTACTTCTTGTTTTGTTTTTTTTTTTGTTGTTTTTTTCATTTGTTCTGTCTACTGAGGAAAGCTCTTAGCCGAAACGTTCTTCTATTATCATTCCGTCTTTCTATTTCAAGCTTCCACGCACCTTGTTCTTCTATTTTCTTCGTTAATGTGAGGCCTCAGCTTGTGGAAATCGAAGCTCTTTGGCATGTGTTTAATGGCGGGCTTAGGTGTGAGGGTAATAAAGGCCCCCATGTGAGTGGTAATGAAGGCCCCCATGTGTGTGGTAATGAAGGCCCCCATGCGAGTGGTAATGAAGAGATTATATGCGTGGAATGAAGGGCATAGGTGAGTGCTAATGAATGGCATAGGTGAGTGGTAATGAAGGGCATAGGTGAGTGCTAATGAATGGCATAGGTGAGTGCTAATGAAGGGCAGAGGTGAGTGGTAATGAAGGGCATAGGTGAGTGCTAATGAAGGGCAGATGTGAGTGGTAATAAAGGGCAGAGGTGAGTGGTAATAAAGGGCATAGGTGAGTGCTAACGAATGGCATAGGTGAGTGCTAATGAAGGGCAGAGGTGAGTGGTAATGAAGGGCTTAGGTGAGTGCTAATGAAGGGCATAGGTGAGTGCTAATGGAGGGCAGAGGTGAGTGGTAATAAAGGGCATAGGTGAGTGCTAATGAAGGGCAGATGTGAGTGGTAATGAAGGGCAGAGGTGAGTGGTAATAAAGGGCATAGGTGAGTGGTAATGAAGGGCAGAGGTGAGTGGTAATGAAGGGCAGAGGTGAGTGGTAATAAAGGGCATAGCTGCATGGACGCCAAAAAATAATCAAAGGGTTAACATGATTGGCATCAGTGTTTCTATTAGAAATTTCCCCCCTGCGGGGCACTTCAGATTTGCGGGGGGGGGGCACTTCAGATTTTTCTGGGGGGGGGGGGGGGGAGGAGGGCACTCCCCCCGGAGATATAGCTGAAAGAAACCCTGAATGGCATCACGCTACCTCACATGTTGAACATTTTGCCGAGAGTTGTCTGGAAATTTTTTTAAATTTTTTTTTTCTTTCAATTTCCTTTAGATGAAAATAAGCAGCATCAGATGACACTAATTTCATTCACAAAATAAAATTCCCCTATGACTGCGTTAAACGAGAATCTTAAAAAAAATAACGCAAGTGCTTTTCGTGCTTAATAGATTCTTTTGTTTTATAGAAATAGTCTCCATTGAAATATGGTGTTATAATCTGCAATATGGGGGGGGGGGAATTAGAAACAGTGGCGTAGCCAGGGATGGTGTTACCCGGTGCGGTAAATTGAATGTCAGGAGGTAAATGTATGTAAGAACTGTAACAACGTAAAGTTATATCTATTTTTATATAAAATTTGTTTCATTTAAAAGTTCCTTTCC